TGTCGACATCAGAAAGGTATCACCGAGGGCAGACCAATTCTCTTGCTCTTCTTGAGGCTGCTTTGGAATAATTTCGGAGAATTTAGGATCTCTACGCCAACACCGTTCTCTCCGGTGGCACATCAATGTTCCCAGGAATCGCTGACAGGATGCAAAAGGAAATCCAACACTTGGCACCGAGGTGGGTCTTCGGAGTCATAACACGAATCGCTTTTTCAGCTAACTGGTGAACCTGTACCGTAACCCTTTATAAGGGGGTCACAGAATTGACATTGGAGCATGTAACCATTTGTTTACCGTGCTATAAACATCCTTGTTTGCACTAGCCTCGGCTCGGTTCAAGCGTCGTTCCCGGAAGGTCGACATGGGTTCCACTCCAAAGAATGGTGAATGAAGCTGATCCTCATGCAGTAATGAATTCTCTTGAAAAAGACCATAAAAATCCTCGTGTCTAAAACTTTGAGGCCAAACTTTTCCGCGGACTTCAGAAGCCCCTTAGTATTTCGCTGCAGTATCGAAACTATTAAAAGCGACATTACTTCCTGTGGGATTTAGCGTAGGAACCCATCCGTCGTGTATCAGGCATTTCCCTTCCTTTCTCACACTTATTTTTGCTCCTTTCCAGTACGATGAAGATCAAGATCATCGCACCGCCAGAGAGGAAGTACTCTGTCTGGATCGGAGGATCCATCCTCGCCTCTCTTTCCACATTCCAACAACTCTGGATCTCCAAACAAGAATACGACGAATCTGGCCCATCGATCGTCCATCGTAAATGCTTCTAAGCATCATGGTCTACATTACAAATGTAAATTAACAGAGAATAAAGATTTAATTGTTCGAGTAGTGAACGATTTCTGATAATCGACTACGTAAAAGCAGTTAAGGGAAAGAAAGCTTCACCCATCACCTTCTAACGACTACAGAATTTCATTTTACGATCGCCTCTGAACCAAAAAGACAGTTTAGAAATTTTCGGTATTCTCCATGACCAGTATACACGATGGGCGTAAGGGGGGAAACTTCCCTCCGGGTTAGCAACCGTCTCAAACTAGAGAGAACTGCCAGCGCATTTGGTACAGTTGGCAGCTGTGGCCAATCCCTGAACGCTTCCTCTAAAAGTAGTATCACTAAGAACGAGGTTTGTATTCAGGTATTAAGGTGACGAAGGTGCTCTGATGGCTGCAAGGGCAAAAGGGACTTCAGTGGTTGCGTAATAAGCTAAGGACTGCCTAACAGTGACTATGAAGGTGAGCTTCATTCCTTAGTGAGTTGGATGTTGTGGCAAAGAAGAGATGCGATCGACCACGATAAGATAAGATATCAAGGAATTCCAGCCATGAAATCGATACCACTGAGCAGGTGAGATTACATTGTCGAAAGGATATTATTAAGAGCCTGTCGAAGTAGCAGATTCATCCCAGCTCATCATCTCTTTTTCATTAAATTCTCGTGGATTCTACTAGTATCTTTTCGGATGACTACCTCGAATTCTTTTTGTAATCCTAACCAGTTTATGGCTAATAATTGCTTGGAGTTCTGCTCGCTTTCTAGCCGA